ATTGAACAAACGATTTTCATTTTAGAAACAACTCCACTCGCTCCTATAAGCGCAATGCACCATAGGGATAGAAGTAGGAATAATGGAATAATTGGAGGGGGATCGACATGGCGATGCAGTGCCCGGTGTTGGTGATTTTGTCCTTTTATAGTAAAACAATTGCTTTAAAAGTTTCCTCACTGTACTTTAATACCTTAGTTCCACTGATTCTATGTCAATTCGTTGCACCTGGATCTGAGCGCAGTGGATAATGGGAGGCACTAGACCGTGTAAACAAATTAGAATTCCAACTAAATTTTTGGACGAAATCGCACGTCACGTATATGATTTTCGTTACTTTGTACACCTGCTTCGTCTAGCATTTTAAATGGATTCCAGTTTATATTTTTGTTAATGAAAACCTGCAAGAAAAAGTGTCTCAGTCGACCAAAAATTTTGAAAATAGTTCTCCTATTTGCCTGCAAAAAAGTGAAATTTTGGGAAATAGTTCTCTTACTTGCATAGCGAAAAAACTCACAAACTATTTCCAAAAAAAAAAAGAAACACAGATGAAAGTGAAAATTAGAATACATTCTTATGTGTTTTTATGCGTTTTGTGCTAACAGCATGCAGGCTGTGTACGTGTATATATATATGTGTGTGTGTGTGTGTGTGTGTGTGTGTGTGTGAGCGAGTATGTTCTTATTTTTCTCCGGGGTGTTTAAATGAGCAACCAAAAAAGCAATGAGGCTGAAATTTTAAAGTTGTTTAGTAGCCACGTGTGGACCAGCAGACTAACTAGGTTCAAGTTTCTTGTTAAAGACACCTGAAAATTTGTGAAAATATTACTAACTCAGGTATCAAACAAGAGTTTTATGAAAAGGATTAATGTCTATTTTTGATTTCGAAAATTTTGGATCCGGCTCCCACGTACATTCACATACAGACTCGTGAATGTTCACGCAGGGCGCGGTGGGCATCGCTTTACCTCAGAACCCAGGCAAGACGGAGAGATAAATTTTCATGAGAGCGCCCTCTAGCCCTAGAAATTTAACTTTGCTTGTCCAGGTCACACATGTGAACACATTCAGGCCTAGGCGGAAAATTTTCCAACTCGGGAGCCGGAAAGTATTTCGACGTCGCTGCACTCATCTTTAACAGCAAGCATCTGCTGAACAGGATTGAGGAAACGCACATGGTACCGGCTACCATGACGTGCACCGCCAATTATTATTTTTTGACTATTTATCGCGTGTACGACTGCAGCAGTTCAAGTTACTTAACTTCAAAAGCATCGAATTCTACAAAATCAAATGTAGCGAGCTGTATGCAAGGCAAAACTAGAATTCAGCTCATATATTGTTCCACGCTCTCTTGCCCTTACCCCTGATCCAGGAGCAAATTTAATGGTCAGTTTCAAAGCTGGCTTTTTTTAAACCTCGAGGAGGCAAAGCAGTGCAAAAAATATGATGAACGCCACTTTCTGCAAGGTTTTTCTGCAAGGTTTTTAACAGGTTTTTAACAGATAAAATGCTCTTTGCAAGTACCAAAATATGCAAAAACCTTGAAACTGAAATAAATTGCATTTTCCATCACAGCAGGCTGGTCGGACAAAATAAAAATTTTGCACTTTTGCTATAATTATTTTTCCAGCACATGCTTTGCGCATCGCAACTAAACTTTAACCTTCACTTTTCTTCAGTTTTGCTTAATATGAACTGCCTGTAGTGAAGGACATCTTTCTAAAGCCTGTTTACGCTTTCCTCAAGTTCTGTTTTCTGGCAAGACTTGGTAACTCATAAATTTAGGAAGCTAAAATTTTCGAAAAATTTTGCATGCCCGTACAAGGCGGCGAAATGAGGATTCGGTTTTTGCACATATCAAAGTTCCAAAGCTGCACTTAAAATTCGCGCAAGGCCAGCAGGGGAAGACCTCACTTTCTGAAAAGATTGCTTTAGTCTTCTCGAGTTTTCTTCAAAAACCACTTTGATTTGTGCTTAAATTACACTCTTAAAGGCCTTCTACATTTGTAAAAAAGCGTTTTCTGCGACTGTGTGACTGTTTTCATGATTACCTTTCCAAAACATCAGTTTTGTATCTCAGCACCGTTTTGTGTCTTTCCGATTCCAGCTCTAAATACCAAATTAACCGACACGCTAAATACCAATTCATTTTCACTAGTCGGATCTTTCCTGCGTGTTGCTTTCCAGGAATTTATTGTTCGTTTTAGAATACTGTCTTCACTGAGAAACCGCGTTTCCTGAAAAGGATGTAGTTTTCACAGTGCATTTATTCAGAAATATGGCCAAGAAGAAAGAAAACCAGAAAGTGGACTAAAAAATTTGTTTGCCCAATTACTGGTAACACTGAGTAAGAGGAATTTTAGCACCGCTGAAGGCTGATGTTTACCGCACCGAATAAAAATTTTTTAACAGACAAATCTTTAAATGTAGTACTTTTCGATTTGAGTATGAGGCATCTTAATACCTTGTTGGGCAAAAGCGAATTGAGAGGCAAACGCAACTTCTCAATTAAAAAAGCCACAACCTGTTTCAGCCACCCAGTAGGTGATGTGCCAGTACAAACAAAAATTTGTCACAATGTTATTTCACGGTATCCTCAACTTTCACGCTCTCCGTGCTCTGAGGATACTTTAACATGGCCCACACAGAGTCCAAGACCGCCCAAGTCTTGGACTTATTGTCAGCCATGCTATTTTAAAGCCTTTCGACTCTGAGCTACAAACTTCTAATTTATTCCCAACGTCTCTTCAATTTACGTGCGCTACCTTTTCGCGATTCTTTTACCTTCTCGTAGAGCCTCTCGTATGCGCGCCGTCCACCGCTTTGTCTGCAAGAGAAACAACATTCCCTACCCATCGGGTTTCACTTTCTTGCGAGGCGACAATCAGAACTTGTTAGTCTGACGAAGAATTATGTGGAATAGGTCCGAGTGTTAATTTTGGAGCAATCAGCTTTCTTCACATTGTAAGAATTTAATTCTTGAGCCCGAAATTCCTCAACAGCGGCTTATCTTGCTTTGAAATTTGAAATCAATCCAATTTGTGACCCGGTTTGAAGGCTGGTGCGCAAAGCGGATTCATGTATCCCACATTCCGGAATCGGGGATGGAGAGGTGACAGTGTCTCCAGAATGCCAGATTCCTAGCTTTTGTGATTTGAAACTGCATGATTCCGACGATGATGATGTCTGTTTGAAACAAAAATTATAGCAATTTTTTTAAGGATTTTGATTTTTAGCTTCTTCGCAGTTGTTGTGCTTTAAATTAATTGCGGTAATTCGGTCATTCAATTTTATTTACATAGATGAAAGAAAAAGCACCTTATCCATTGTGTCACTTTTTGAAAACAAGGAGAAATGTTTAGAAAAAAAT